AGGTACAGGTTATGCATGAGCACTATTAAGTGTTCTGGAATTCCCATTCTTTGTAATGTTATCCATTATTTATTAAGAGCCACACAGTCAGTCAAATGCCTTTGCAAAGTCAATTATACACAGGTAAACACCTTTCTGGTAGTCTCTGCTTTCCATCAAGATCCATCTGACATCAGCAAAGACATCCCTTGTTCCATGCCCTCTTTTGGATCCAGCTTGCATTTCTGGAAGTTCCCTGTCAATATACTGTTGCAACTGTTTTTGAATTGTATCTTCAGCAAAATTTTACTTGCATATGATATTAATTTCCATATTCTTTTGGATCACCTTTCTTTGGAATGGGCACAAATATGGATCTCTTCCAGGTGGTTTGCCAGATAGTGGTCTTCCAAATTTCTTGTTATAGATGAATGAGTCTAGCATCTGTTTGTTGAAAGATTTCAATTGGTATTCTGTCAATTTCTGGAGACATGCTCTCTGCCAATGCCTCCAGTGCAACTTGGACCTCTTATAACACCACTGGTTTTTGATCATATGCAACCTCCTGAAATGGTTGAACATTGACTAATTCTTCTTGGTACAGTGACTCTGTGCATTCCTTCCATCTTTGTTTGATGCTTCTTGCATTGTTCAATATTTTGGCCATAGAATCCTGCAATACTGCAACTCAAGGCTTAAGTTTTTCTTCAGTTCTTTTAGCTTGAGAAATACTGAGTGTGTTCTTCCCTGGTTTTCTAAATCCAGGTCTTTGCACATTTACTATTATATTATGATACTATTATAATGGGTGCTCTGGTAGCATAGTGGCTAAGACACTTGCCTGCTAACCAGATGGCTGGTGGTTCAAACCCACCAGCCACTCCTCGGAAGGAAGGTTGGGCAATCCTACTTTCGTAGTGATACTGCCTCGGAAACCCAAGGAGGGGTCGCTATGAGTCGGGGCCGACTCGATGGCACATAACAACAACAACAACAACTATTATAATAGTATTATATTATAATACTATTTCTTCTCGAGCTGCCCTTTGAAACCTTGGTTCAGCTCTTTTATTTCATCACTTCTTCCTTTACTTTAGGTATTCTATGTTCAAGAGCAAGTTTCAGAGTTTCTTTTTACATCCATTTTGGTCTTTTCTTTCTTCCTATCTTTTTAATGATAATTTCTTCACGTATGATGTCCTTGATGTCACCCTACAACTCATCTGGTCTTTGAGTATTAGTACTCAATGTATCAAATGTATTCTGCAGACAGTCTTTATATTTATGTGTAATATACTCAAGGTCGGGAGCTCTGGTGGTGTAGTGCCTAAAGCATTTGACTGCTGGCAGTTCAAACCCACCAGCCACTCTGTGGAAGGAAGATTGGGCAATCAACTTCCGTAGAGATACTGCCTTGGAAAACCAAGAAGGGGTCACTAGTTCTGTATGCCTAGCTGGGATCAACTCGATGGCAGTGACTTTTTTTTTTTTTTTTGTATACTCAAGGTCTTTGGCTCTCCTGGACTTGTTTTAGTTTTCACTTGGTCTTTGGCTCTCCTGGACTTGTTTTAGTTTTAACTTGGACTTGCGTACGAGTAATGAATGGTCTGTTCTGCAATTGACCCCTGATCTTGTTCTGACCCATAACTTTGAGCTTCTTCATCCTCTCTTTCCGTAGATGTAGTCTATTTGAGTCCCATGTATTCCATTTGGTGAGGTCTATGTGCAAAGCAGACATTTATGATGTTGAAAAAAGTAGTTGCAATGAACAAGCTGTTGATCTTGCACAATTCTCTCCTGTGATTTCCAAAATAGTTTCTATCACCAAGGTCATATTTTCTGACTACTGATTCTTCTTTGTTTCCAACTGTCACAATCCAATCACCAGTGATTATCAATTCATCTTGATTGCATGTTGATCCATTTCAGACTGTAGAAGTTGGTAAATATCTTCTATTTCTTCATCTTCGGCATTAGTAGAGAAGCTCTGGTAGTCCAAACCCACCAGCCACTTCTCGGAAGGTTGGGCAATCTACTTCTGTAGCGATACTGCCTCAGAAACCCAAGGAGGGGTCGCTATGAGTCAGATACAACTCTATGGCAGTGGGTTTGTTTTTTGGTTTGGTTGTCATTAGAGGTCAGTATGTAATTTTGAATAATAGTTGTATTATCTATCTTGTCTTCCTTGAAGGTGTGTGAATATTATCCTATCATTAACAGTGTTGCACTTCAGGATAGATCTTGAAATGTTGTGGATGATGAATGTGACATCCTTCCTTTTCAATTTGTCATTCCCAGCATAGGAGACCATATGATATATTCACCCAATTCAAAATGGCCAATGGTATTCATTTCAGCTCACTAATGCCTACAATATCTATCTTTATGTATTCCGTTTGATTTTTGACAACTTCCAATTTTCCTAGATTCATACTTTGCATATCCCACATTCTGATTACTAATGGGTGTTTGCAGCTGTTTCTTCTGATTTTGAGTTGAGCCACATCAGCAAAGGAAGGTCTTGAAAGCTTTGCTCCACCCATGTCATTAAGGTTGATGCTACTTTGAGGAGTTGGGTTTTGAATGCCTTCCTATTTGAAGGGCTCATCTTCTGGCAGTAATCAGACAATGTTCCACTGCTATTTATAAGGTTTTCAGGGACCAGTTGTTTCAGATGTTCACAGCCACATCCTTCTGCCTAGTCTGTCTTAGTCTACCAGCTCTGCTGAAACCTGTCCACCATGGGTGAACCTGCTGGTTTTTTGAAATACTGGTAACATAGCTCCCAGCATTATAGCTATATGCAAAACACCACAGTATGACAAGCTGCCAGATGAATGGTGATTTCGGTTAGTAGTAGAGTGCTAATTTTCTGCGTCAACCAGAGATTCTATATTGTGAGAACAGATATCACGTAGAACTGATGACAACAACAAAAATTAATACTTGTTGGCTGAAGAGCCCATGAGTGGTCAGGTATCGTTCTCTCATCTATCAGCTTTATTGCTGCTACAGTGTTCCTTCAGTGTTCTGCTCATCATGAACTGGCCAATCCCTGTCTAAGGTGACACATGACTCACAGTTCAGTCATTTCTGTAGTCACTAGCCAACGGACAATACAACAGGAGCAGAGGCCCATTCTGATTCTCAGTCTAGTGATCTTTTTAACCTCAATATAAGGTAGAAAAGTACCCTATCTTAAAAAATATGCCAGCCTCTCCCTTTAGAAAGCATCAAAATAGATAAAACAGTAGCCAGACTATTTACTGTGCATCCTAACAGAGAACATTAGTAGCATAAGTCTCCAGGGATATTTGTGTCTAAGATCAGTTAAATATAGTCACCTATTTCTTAAGTCAAGATGAAAAGTGGGAGATGATTTAAAACTGTCTTGCCTAATGTCTTAGTTATCTAGTGCAACTATGAGAGAAATACCGTAGATTTGTGGCTTTAACAAAGGGAAATTTATTTTCTAGTTTAGGAAGCTAGAAATCCAAATTCAGAGCACTGGTTCTCAGAGCACTTTTCTCTGTGTGTCGGCTCGAAGGTGGCACCTTGCCTCTTCAGTTTCTGCTTCCGGTTCCTTGGAGGCTCCATGTGTTCTTGGCACCTATCTGACCCCATCTCTACTCTGCTCACTCATTTCATCTCTTTTTTATCTCGAAAGAAATTGATTCAAGATACACTGTATTCCCAAATGGGATTATAACCACTGGCATATAGGTTAGGATTTCAATCCTTGTATTTGGGGGACATAATTCAGTTCATAACATCTAATATCTTTGTAAGAAGTTCTGGTTGTGTAGTGGATAAGGCATTTGGCTGCTAACCAGAAGGT